TCTCTCTCTCTCTTTCATCTTTTATCTCTTCAGATTCAGAATTTTCTTTTTAAGACGTTTTCCACGTTATATTATCGAAAGCTTCACGACCAATAATCCACGAGAAAACTCAACTTTATTATTCCGACCGGGGTTGGATAGAAAATTGTTCACTTTAACGATCTCCCCGTCCTCCCCCCTAACCACACCCCCACGCTTTGACGTATTATTTCACTTTAAAGTGAAATTGAAAGTTTTAAGTAATAAAATATATCTCATCGATCTTTGGAATGCAATATCAAATAGATATCCATTGACGAATATAAAAAAAACTACGATGCGTTATGTATAAATATATGCGTATATGTATAAGTATAAATGTAAATGTAAATGTAAGTACTTTTAATCGAAAACTCAGCTGACAATCAAATGTCGGTACGAGTCGCATATTTTTATTGTTGATATTTTACTCTTTCACATAGTCACAAATAAAAAAATCACCAATTAATTGTAAATTAAATAATATTATATAATCAAATATTAAATTAAATTTAAAAATGAAAAATCAAATGGCAAGACAAAAAATAAGAAATAGATAAAATAGAACAAAATAAAAAATGAATTATTCGATATAATATAAATTGTAAAAAGATCTCTAAAAAAGAAAATAATAGCCAACAAAAAGAAAAAAGAAAAAAATTTCAAAGGATCATCCCTAAGGGATTCTCGAATAACCAGCCTATCGATAAGCATTTTCAATCGAATTTATTGTTTCTTTGGAATTACTATAGATCACTTCTCCTACCTTGTTTACTCTCGAAATAAATCTCGGAATATGCGTTTGGTGATTTTCGTGACTATGTGAAAGAGTAAAATATATATAAAAATATACACGTATATATAGTCGTGTCACTTTTTTCTCTCTATCACCTCTGTCTATATCTATCTCTTATTTATTTATTTATTTATCACTTTCTCTTCCCCCCCTCACCCTCCCCCTCTCTCTATCTTTCTTTTTTCGTATTTTTTTTTAATTTTTAATTAATTAATTAATTTAATAATTTTTAATTAATTAATTTTTTTTTTATGCACACCTTTATTAATCTTGAAACTTTTCGTACAGCACGATGCGTGTTCGAAGAGTGAGCCGTGAGGGCTGTTGCACCCTCTATTATACCCCAAGCTCGAAACTTCCACCACCAGTTTCTTCCTCCTTCTCCTCCTTTTCCTCTTCCTCCTCTTCCTCTTCCTCCTCCTCTCCACCCTTATTTTCTCCTTCTAGAAACCTACCACCTGTAGGTTCGAGCACGTAACGCGAGGAGGAGAACCAGTAGATGTTAGCATTCCACTCTTTTTCTGTTTTCTCGAAAAGTATACACCTACACACCTGATCCTACAAAGGATCACAACCACTTTGTTGATTCCTAACCCCTTATTCCGTTCGTGCATTTGCTTGTTGCATGTTTGTTATTTCCTAACTCGAATTGCGATAGTGTGATGTATAGATGATTATGATAAAAGTTTACAACAACAACAACAAAAATTAGATCTTATTTTTTGTTCTTTTTTTCTCGAACCAACGGTTGGGGGATCGGGTTAACATCGTGGATTGAAGTTTATAATTTGATTAAAAGAAGAAATAAAATATTGTTGTGTTTTTTTGTTCGTTAAAATCAACATGTTCTCTATAAGCTATTATAATAAGATAAAATAATTCATGATAGAAAAGACGATGAATCTCGGAGGATATCAAAATGCAAATGTGAACAGTATCATACTAAAATAATGTTAACGAACGTTCCAATTTGTCGTTTCCATAAGATTTGTGAAATTTTCTTAAGTTTACAAACGTTCACAGGTCTAATGAAGATAATATCATTATTCAATTTTTTTTTTTTTTTTTAATTTTTTCTTTTTCTTTGAAAAGAATCATTTTTTTGCATAAGGATAGATCATAATATTTGTATCGATTCTTTTGTAGTTTTGATGAGATTGACCCATTTTTCGATTTATAAAATATTTCATGAATAACGAAATATTTCTGCTGCTACTGCTGCTGCTTCTGTTAAGGTAATGTTTGAAAAAAAAAAAAAAATGAAAAGGGGGAGGGACAGATTCGAGAACGGCAACGATAAATAATTCTTGGAGTTCACCCGGTCGAATGGTTATCTGTCATTTCGGGGGGTAATTAAGAATACGAAGCATGTCACTGTGTGTCACATAATTTTTACTGAACCTGTGAAGAATTACTTACCCCGAAAAGATATTTTGACGTAACGTTATAAATGTTTAAATTTTAATATTCCTTTTTTTTTTATAAATCATGCAACAAATTTTTCGTACGAGAGAGAGAGAGAGAGAGAGAGAGAGAGTAAACGAAAATGTAATTTTTCTTGTATATAAATTTTCAAATATTCTTCGTTTTGTTATTTTATTTTTTATTATCTTCAAGGAATATTCTAATTCTTAATTTTGTCGAAAAAAAATGTATATACAAACGCGTCGGTAAGACGATGTGAATGTGGTTTCGAAGAAATGTAATACATAAAATTAGTAATATGTCTGTCATTGTTTGTCAATTTTTCATTGCCATTGAGCCGGCCAATCAGCGTATTAATTGATGATAAGAACCCCCTTCGTTTCTCGGGTAGAAAAAGAGAGAGAGAGAGGGAGAGAAATAGAGAGGGGAAGAGCTCGTTTTATTTTATCATTTTCTTTCTCGCATCTTCTTTTCCTTTTTTTTTTTTTTTTTTTTTCTTTCAATTTTAACAGGATACTACACGCCCGACAAAATGGCCGATCTTTTATAATATAAACTCCTGCATCATATATGCGTATTATAATGTTTTTCGATAAAATAATATTAAATTATGCAAAATAATTGATGTACTTTGGACGAATAAATAATATTCGATCAATTTTAATATTAAATCTTACAAAATAATATTAATAATAATAATAATAAAGAATTAAAATGAAAATAAAAAGGTAGCGTTTATATAATAATAAGTTGTTACTTATGTTAGAAATATCGTTATGATATTTAAGATGACGTCTTAAGATAGCATGCTATCGATCAGCAACGAGTATTTGAAGCCAACGAAGTTGATATTTAATTGATATTCCATTAAACTTAATAGTTTTAGCTTTAAATTTACGTAATGAGTTTTCCTTTTGTTTAGTAACGTATTTATTTACTATTAACGTATTTCAATCGATCGATTATAACGAATGACGAGAGTAAACGTTAAACGTTCATTTATCGAATGGGAGATTGAATGAATCGTTTTTAATATGTTATATATCTCGATTATTCCGGATGTAATCGAGAATATATTTCAACGGATGGATAGAGAGATAGAAAGGGAAAGAAGGAGAGAGAGAGAGAGAGAGAGAGAGAGAGAGAGACAGGCCAATATTATTTGGAAATATCAATCGTTATTTTACGAATTGAAAATAATTTCATTTAGAATGAAATATGGTATAGATAATTCAACGACAACTAACTAAATAATTGGCCATGTAGATAGTTTAATATTTAAAAGTATTATATATATGTAATTTTACATTATATTCTCTAATGTTAACCATGTATTATTCTCTTGTATCATTTGGAACATTTTTTAAAATGTTTATTACGTATCATTTATTTTTTTTAAATAGATCATAAAGGTCTCTGACATAATATTTGACGTTTTCAAATATTATCTACATGTATCGTTTCGAATGTATTTTGTTTTTTGTTTTCTTTTTTTCTTTTTATTTTTTGATGTATGAAGTATCTTTTATATTTTATTTTTCTTTTTTTTCTAGATCATAGGGGTCTCACATTATATAAAAATTTTGCGAATATTATCTACTTGTATCGTTTCGAATATATTATTTTTTTTTTTTACATATCTTTTATATTTTTTACTTTTTTATTATTATTATTATAACTAAATCAATGAGATTTAGATTTAGAAGAGCTCCTTTTAAAACTTTTTTTAAATATCGTGTCTATATATACTCGTATCGTTTGAAATATTATTTTAAATACGTGTATACACATATTATCAACATATATTATTCTAATTAGTATTATTTTAGTTCCAGATTATGGAGGAGGAAGAAGATGAAAAACCTTTCGCAGTGGAACGTGCCAAATCCGGTCGTGCAAAATGCAAGAAGTGCAAATGTCCTATAGAAAAGGATGCAATAAGGATCGCTAAATTAATTTCAAATCCTTTTTCGGACGGTTCAAAGATGAAAGCGTGGCATCATTTGTCCTGCCTTTTCGAAGTCTTTGCAAAACAGAGAGCTACGACTAAAAGAATAGAAGATCCCGAAGAGGATATTAGTGGGTGGGAAAATCTTCAGGATGAGGACAAGAACTTGGTCATTGAGAAACTTCACGAGTTTGACCAATCCTGTAAGCTATTAATCTTTCTTTTTTACAATATATATATATTTTTTACTTTCCTTTTTCTTTTTTGTTCCACGAATCCATGCGATTGGATTATCTGGATGACCGGAAACAAATTTTTCCATGAATTGTTTCAAATTTTGTTATCCCTCCTATCCCACAACCTTATCCTTGAACTTCGATTAATTTCTTATCTCCAGTCTGTTCTTTATTATTATTTAAATGATTTCTTTTTTTTTTTTTTTTTACAATATATATATATATATTTTCTTAAATATATCACAGATATCGTCGTTATCGTTTCATAAAAATAATAATGACTCTTTATTTGGTACATATTTAAATTGATTATGACGTAATCGCGTGTCATCATCGTCATCTCGTAGCGACGATATCGGTGAGAGAAATTAGTCCACGAATTAAAAAAAAAAAAAAGGAGAAGTAAGAAAAATGTTAATAAAGAAAATGTTGAGAAAATGAGAAAAAAGAAATGAAACGAGTTTCAAGTAACAATATTGTCTTCTTGAAATATTTAACGAAACTTCCGATCGTTTTATTCTCTCTCTCTCTTTCTATTATTTTACTTGACTAAAGATAAACAAAAAAACCGATATAAGTGAGTGTTAATTGTCGTAATTAAATCAATAATCTAAAAATTATGATTATCAATTTTCCGAACACAGAGACTTATGTTTACTATTACAACAACCAATAACCAACTCTTTCTATCCTTCTTTGTTTAAATGCACCGATTTAACGAGAGAGAGAGAGAGAGAAAAAAAAAGATAGACAAGTGATTTATACCGCAAAGGCTAGTGCCATTTTTGTATCCAGTTCGCAGATTACACCACTGTTCACGACGGTGGTGTAGGATTGAAAAATAATAATGCACTATTATTTCGCACCGATTAAACCGTATTTGTTCAAGACACCCATAAATTTTAAAGGCTATCGATACGATTTTTCTTCTTCTTCTTTTTTTTTCTTTTGTGTGTGTGTTCTTTTTTTCTACTCTTCTTTTTTATTATCACAATAAAAAAATTTCCTTTTTACGTTTATATTTTATATTCAATTGAAAGGAAGAAGAAGAAGAAGAAAAAAGAAATGAAAGGATTTGAACGCGACCGACCATTCGTATTGTTTCATTTTTATTTTGTCTATTTTGTGTAATTTCTATTTTTTTTGTTTTTGTTTTTTTACTTCATAAGGTCCATTAAAAACGACGAAACCGAAAGCTACGATTAAAAGGAAAGAAAATTCACCGGAAAATCAATCGGCTAAACCGAATAAAAAGATGAAATTACCGATAAAAACGTCGACGGAGGTATCGAAAGGAATGGAGGAGGATCGTGTGATTGGTTCGGACGATTGTAAGATGGACGATCTTGAAGAATCCAAAATGGCGGATAAGGTAGATAAATATCCAACGAAGGACGATTTGTTTCGCGAATTTAGACGAATTTGCGCGAACGTTGCTGATGTAGATGCTTACAAGGAAAAAACAGCGATCATCAAGAATATGTTTATTCACGGAACGTCCGGTGGTAAGTGTGTATTTTCATTTTTATTAATATATAATAAAGTAGAACATTTTCAACTAACGAAAATTTTCGAGACTCTGTGCGATTAGACATAGACGGTTCTTATATTGTTTTTGTATTTGCAAAGGATGAAAAAAGAATGTAAATAAAATATCTTACAGGGATCATCATTTGTTTTCGGGCAGTATAATTAATTACTTAGAGGTTCCCAAGTCTATGTCAGAGAGAGAGAGATAGCGATATCGATTAATTATACTTTTGTTTATTTGGTCAGTATTTTGTATAATAAATTATCAATATAAATATGAATAGTGTTTGTTCAATACGAATAATAATTTGTTAATATGTTAAATAGGTGATCGATGATATATAACAAGGTGGATTGGTTTATGTCAGGATTACGTATATTACTATCTTATCATAAATATTGACAGATTTCTATTACATACTTATTACAAATACTGACCTAATAAATACCGGCTGATTTAATTAATTCTTTTTTTTTTTTCAAAATACGCCCGACGTTTTTGTTTTTAACCATCCATGAACGTTACTTTTACTATCAAAATTTAACTTCGATAATACGCGAGTGTTCCTTCTATTATCTACGATAAGAAAAGATTAATTTCAAAATTCCCGCCTTCGGCCATTTTCATTGTAAAATAAATGGTCGGCCATTTTCTATCATACACCTTATTTAAAGATGCATTATTATCATCATCATCATCATTATCATAATCATCATCTAAGAGAATTCAATTGAGAAATACAAACGAAAAATATAAAAAGTAGGGGGTGGGGAGAGGTGAATGGTGAATGGTGAAATACAACACGTACTGACACAAACAAGCCGGACACAATCCTATCAATGAAGCTATCGACTTCATATTGACCGCGTAAACATACTCATAGATTTTTCTCTCTCTCTCTCTCATTCTCTCTCTCTTTCTGTATTTTTCGTTAGTAACTAACTCTTTCTTTGATATTCCGTTTATTTATTTCTTCATTTATTTTCTTCATTCATCGAGTTTTTCTAACAATTCTTATAGAACAGATTCTCATTATAACTCCCACGTTATTCTTTAGCGATATTTATATTCTCGTTTAACAATATTATTTTTTATTTTTTTTTTTTTAATTATCTTTTCACGATTACGAAGCATCTCGCGAAGATGAATTTGTTACTTCGAGAAAGTACATCCTCCCTATATCCCCCCCGTCTCCTCCTCCTCCCCCAACACACACCCCACCCCACTCACTGTCTTTCTTAGTCTTCTTTTCTTTTCTTTTCTTTTTTTTTTTTTTTTTTTTTGCGAGCTTTTAATCGTTCCGCAAATGAATTCCTTAGAGCGAATAAATATGATGATACCGGAATCGGATACAAGGAAAACATTAATCAATCAACCAAATAGACTAGCACCGCCGCGATTCTTTACCACCACACTTGTTACGAGTGGAAGATTTTTTTTGCGGGGTTATCTTACTGTTACTTGCGTCCGGTTGGCTTTGCCCGGCCGGCCAATCAACGAGTGTATTCCCTTTTTGTACAAAACGGAAACGAGACGACTTGGTGTGTGTCACTTCTCTTTTGCTATTTCTTATTTTTATTTTTTTTATTTTATTCCTTTTTCTTTTGCTTTTCTTTTCTTTTATTTTTTTTTTTTTTTTTTTTTTT